AGCCCCAAAATCTCAATTTCTCCACCAGGTAAAATGGTTTGCTGGTTTGCTATTGCATCTTTAGACATGAATGAAACCAATTTTAACCACTCCTGTGTGCAACATCTGTGATTTTTAAGGAGGTGGCAGTGAAAGGTTGTGGGCAGAGCTTTTTTTTTTTTTGCTGTTGCAAGGAAAACCTGTTCCCTCTTTCTGTTTGATGTCCCAGCTGCTTTTGTGCAGCTCCAAAATGATTTGTTTAATCATGGTTTGGTCTGAACCACCTTGTTCCTTTTGATGTCTGGGCAGGACAGATTTTCCTGCTTGTCACCTTGTCCCCTCTGGTCTTTTCAACCTTTTAAGCACCTCTTTGTTGGGAATCCCAACATCCCTGGGCAGGGCAGGAGCCGGGAGCAACTGGAGAATTGTGGATTTTGATTTATCCACAGCGATATTTCAAAGTGTCCTTTCAAAGGGTGAACGTTGGCTCCAGCTGTTTTCACGTGTCCCACTGTTTTTTGGGATTTCATGTGTCAGCCTGCTCTGGTTATTGTGGAATCACAGAATGGTTGGGGTTAGAAAGGAYCTTAAGGATKATTTTGTTCCACCCRTGCCATGGGCAGGGAYAATTTCTGCTATYCCAGGCTGCTCCAAKCCYCATCCATCCTCACCTTGGACRCTTTCAGGGCATCCACAGCCTCTCCAGACCTCTCTGTTTGCAGGTTCCTGTCAGGAAGCACAAGAGATGCTTCAGGAGCACCTCTAGAACTCCTTCTGGTTGTGCTCTCGATGTTTTCTCTTTGAGAACCCATGACAGGTCCCTGTCCCTCGAGATCTCTGCCGTGGTTTGCAGTCAGGGAGCTGCTGAGGTCATTGAACACCTTCCCTGCTCATTTATTTGGAATTAGAGCCAGCAATCCTCTCTGCATTCTGTTCAAAACCCTCGGCTCAGGTTCTGTGTGTGCTGGAAGATTCGCTGTGTTCTGCCCTGGAGAGCTCTCAGCCCTGCTTTGAGCAGGGAAATTCATGGAAATGTTTTTAAGAGGCCCTGGGAGCTCAGAAGTGTCTCAGGAACAYTCTGCCCATGTCTGAGAGGATGCACACACGGGTATCACCAAGAGCTACTCGTTTGTTGTGCTTTTGAATCTTCAAAAATCAGTTTGCAGCTCTACCTTCCTTTAAAAAACACCCAAGTGCTGCATCCCAAGTGTGCAAAACTGGATTTGATTCCCAAATATCCTCATGGAAAGCACCGAACACAGCCCTGCTGTACAAAATGAGGGTCAGTGCTCCCTGGGCACACCTCTGATCCAGGGTGGTCAGTGGCACCCAGGGTGAAGATGTTCTTCAAGCRATGCCACCTCATTGTCCCTGAGCCCCAGAACTCAAAACAATGGATTTTCTGGACACAAACTTGGAGCTGCTGGAGCCTGCAGCACTCACAAAACCCCCCTGCACAGCCCACAGCTTTTGTGGTGCCCTGGTGTTGGAGAGTGAAGAGTTTGAGTGGCAGGGGCTCTGTAATTATCCATAATTATCATCCCTGCGATGATCACGGATGGATTTGGGGCACAGCAGCGACATTTCCTCATCCCTGCAAGYGCCCCCGGCAGCAGCAAGGTCGAGCCTTGTCTCCCTGAGGASACCTGACAGCATCAGGTAAAAGCTCTGAAACAGGAAATGTGCTTGGATTACACGAGCAGCTCTGCAAATGTGGTCAAAACCTTTGCCTCAGGCACCTCCACTTTGTTTCCATTCATTTTCCTTAATTTTCCTGGATGTTTCCCCCTGGTAGTGATCAGCCAGTTCTTTTTTCTTCCAGACAGTTGTTGCAACTCCGTTGCCATGGCTACTTAACCCACTTTTTGCTCCCGCTACCAGGCTCGGGAAGAAAAGCGCTCACCAAACTTTCCCCTGGCACAGAAGAACCAATTTTTTTTAAATTTTTTTTTTTTTAATTTTTTTTTTTTTTTTAATTTTTTTTTTACCCGGGAGCTTTGTCCTGGCAACCTCTGGATGAGGGAGGGTTTGGAGCAGCTCCTTTTTTTTGGATGCTGGATGGCAGAACTCCGAAGGGYGCAGCTGATGAGCGCCGCTGAGGCTTTCAAACCGCCAGTGCTCTTTATTTAAAAGGATCTTCTGAAGAGGTGTAAGTGCCTGTAAATTTTTTAAGCACAGAGGAAAAACGAGCCCTGGGTTTCCTTTGAAGACACTGCAGAAAAAAAAAAAAAAAAAAAAAAAAAAAAAAAAAAAAAAAGGTTCAGATTTGAATTTTTCCAGCTTTTGCTGCTCCAGCTTCTCTGCAGGAAGGGTTTTGAGCGGTGCAGGGGATGGGGGTGACAGCAGCTGGGCCAGTCCTGGGAGTGCAGTTCAGCTGGATTTGTGCTGTGAATTAAAAGGCTAAAAGAAAAAAAAAAATTCTTGCCTTTTAACTGGGGAAAAGATTTAACAACTTCAGTTTGTCAGGTGTTTTTTTTGTGGTTCCTCTAACCTTGGTGACAGGGAGCCAGGAGATTTAAAAAACAAAACAAATGGAAATAAGTGATGCAATCCTTATCTTTTACCACTGAACTCTGCAGAGATGAGAGGAGAAGTTCGTACAAGTTTGTTGGTGCTTTGAAGCTGGGTCACTGCTGTGTTTAGCATCTCCCACAAAGTTTAGTTCATGTTTTATATTCTGGGGTCAGAAAGGGGTGGCGCAAAAGGGAGGTAGAGATGAGGATATTGGGGTTTGGGGAGAGTTCAGGTGGGGTTTTWAAAGGCTGGGGAAAGATGGGGAGTGCCACAGGCAGGGTGAGGATGGGAATTTTGGGGATTTTGGGATGGAAATGGCAGRGAGGAAGGGAGGAGATGATGCTGTGTCCTCACTGAGGTGCAGCACTGTCTGCTGGGGATCCAAGCTGACACTGTTCCCTCTGGTGCCCACAGTGTGCCAGATCCTGCCCAAAGGTGTGGTGGGAGTCCTGGGACCCTCCTCCAGCCCAGCCTCCAGCTCCATTATCAGCAACATCTGTGGCGAGAAAGAGGTAAGTGGAGAAATTCACAATTTTGAAATGTCCTCYTTTCCCTTTTTTCCCCYTTTTTTCCCTCTCTGCCTCACCSTTTSCTCCAGCTCCCCTCACATCCATCACACCAGCTCTGTCCCCACTGACTGCGGGGTGCCAACCCCAAAGCTTGCCCCAATGGATGCAAACCCAAATCTGTGACAGC